CAAGTTAAAGGCAAAATCATCTTTAACCAAAAAAAAAAAAAAAAGTTTTTTTGAACAACCACAACAAAAAAAGGTAAATGTCTGCACTTGTAATCTAAATTTCACCCTCCACTTACAGACCATGGAACCATCAATTTTCATAACCAGAGGGGAACTGAGAAATGATGTCATACAAAACCCTTTTTTACATATGAGAAAACTGAGGCTCAGAAGTGTGATATGACATGCATGTGCTAGACAAATGCTTATTGAACAGTCCGATTATACAGCTAGTGTTCTATTGAAGTCAACAGTAGACCAGGGTTTCTTAACCTTTTTTGTGCACCCCTTTGACAATCTAGAGAAGTCTGTGGACCCCTTCTCAGAATATAATTTTTAGCTGCATAAAATAAATAGGATTATAAAGGAAACTAAGTATCTAAAAATAGTTATCAAAACATTCTTTTAGAAACCAAGTTCATGGACCCCAGGTTAAGAGCTCTGGGACTAGACTCTTTTCTTCCTTTTTGCTGTTTTGTTTTTTTTTAAAGGTTGGGCAAGCCACCAGAAGTGGTATATGTTGAAATGTCACCCCCTCCCCCAAATAGCACTCTGATTTGCAGCATCTTTCTTGCACAAGTTTTTGCAATAGCCTGGTTTGAACATAACTTAGTTCTTCAGTGCAGTCTTTGTATGACAAACTGGCCCCATCTTAATAGCAGCCTAGAGTGCACTATCAGCCCTTTATTTAGACTGTACAGTCATAGCGATTCCACTATTAGTCATCCTGACATGTACTTCAGAACGCAACACACCCAGTGAATACTGGAAAAAAAAATTTAATCTGCACTCAACTCCCCCCCCCCCACTCTGTTCCAATTTCTGGTATTTTTAATAGCAGTTGTAGACAGGCAATGATTTGTAATTTCTTTATCTTGGACTGACTTCCAACTTCTCCTACCTACCATTTAAAGTAAAATCCAGCAACCCAAGTTTAACCTCTACTTATTTCACACTCACACTTAACAAATTAGATAACTTCAATCTTCATTATGGAAGTATTTATAAAGTAATCCATACTCTTTCCAGCAGCGGACTGGCTTAATGTTCAAACCGGGAAATTTCCATAGTCTAAAAATGTTCCCTGATATCCTACAAATTTACTGCCAAAAAATGATAGTGATTTCATTCACATATCACATCACTAGCTTTATTCTAAACTTAGATCTTTAAATGACATGTCTGAATTCCCACAAATCTATGTAGCATTTAATTCACCAAACATAGTGAAAAGTATTTGGGACAGCTATAATTTAAATCTTGTTAAAAAAAGTTTCTTTTTAATATCAATAACATTAAAAAAAAACGCACACATGCCTACACAGAACTTTTCTCAAACTGCTGTTGGTTTTTAGAAATTGGGGAATAAATTAGCCTAAAGCTGGAATAAAATAATCCTTTACCTTTCCTGAATTTTATTGGGTAGTAGATTTTGCTATCCCAATCAAGGAGCAGATAGAAAAGTATGGGAATTGCTCCCAGGCTTACCTCCCTTTTTCTCATTAGTCACTGCTCATTCCACCTTATACAAGGTGTAGATGGCTCAGGAGATGAATGAATACCCTGTCATGTTATTCCTTAATTGGAGCAAGAGTGCTGGAATGTAAAGCCTGTTCCATGGACGATAGTGAAAGCAATCAGTCCACTAGTTTCTTCGGGTCCAGATGTCTTCGCAGTGCCTTTTCCTAGCTTGAGTGACAGGAATTTAAAAAATAGCCAAGTGTTTTCCAACAGTGGCCCAAAGCCAAGTTGTTGTTTTTGTAAGCCTGCTTAGAAGTACACAGTGTTTGAGAGCAATACCAGGCTCTTCCTTCTACCCAAATTCTGGGATGGGATAAGCTCACAGGAAGGGGTGTGTATGTGTGTGTGTGAGTGTGTGTGTGTGTGTGAAATTATTTTGTGTTTCATATTTGATATTTACCAAATAGGAAGCAGGGCACAATTAACACAGCAGGAATTAAAAGAACAAAACAAAACTAAAAACAAACTAGACCGGAATTGCTGATAAGAATTTTTTTTTTATGTTATTCCAATAAAAAATACATTCATACAGAAATATAACAATCTTGCAAAAAACAATTTCAAATAAAATCTTGTAAAACAAAATTTTACAAAAATCTTACAAAGATTCTTTAGATAACAGGGTGCTTCAAAAAAAAGAGAAATTTCACTAATAGAAATTTTTTTTAAATTTCAAGCAAAAATTTCAGCTTGATTGAGGCTCAGTTATCACCTGAACAAAATGTACTTCTTATGTACTTGCTTATTATGAAAATTACAGGCATTGACATATATGGCACTCAGCTCCACCCCATTCAAACAACTCTGATGGTATTTCGTAAGCGAGACAAGCCAGTGCAAGGGTTTTTTTTTTTTTTGTTTGGTTGTTTTTGTTTTTTTTTTGCTTTTGTTTACCTTCTTGCTTAACAGGATTGTTATGGCTAAGCAGAGCATGGCCAAA